CCTGCTGAAACTTCTGTAGTGTGTCTTGTCCAGTGCCCTAGTGGCAGTTCTAGGGTGGTAACCATGCAAGCACACGTGGACTCAGAAGGCTTTGCTGCTAAGTGCCTGTGCATCCTTCTTGGCTGCACATAAGCAGGAAACTGGCAGCTCTCCAGGTGCTACAAGGGAGGTGAAATCTGTTACTGTGAGGAGGGGTTGGCAGCGTGTGTTTCACAGGAATCAACAGGCCATGCCTGGTGGAGCTCTGCCAGCTGTTGTTCAAAGGGGAGGCTTATCCCTAGGCTGTGCTGGGGGAGGAAGGAGTGAAGCTTTGTCCCTAGAGAGATGCTGGATTATTACACTCTGTTATTCCTGTATAGCAGTTTCTGGGAAGATTCTCTCTTCAAAATGAAAGCCAAGTCACGAGCTAGTTCAGCACACTAGAGTCAAGCCCCTTGCCCAGGCACACTAGGGCAGGACATGGCTTCTTTGGGTTATGAACAGAGAACTGGTTGATTCCCAGTTTTCCAAGGGCATCTTTCCCACTGTAGTATTGTCTCCTCCTCCTGGTCCCTGAAGTCTGGCGTATTCTGAATCAAGTATCTGTCAAAAAATTGAAAAAAGCTTTCCATATTATTAAAAAAACTCATTTAGGCCCATTCATTTTGTTTGGGTTTTCTGTGTTGACGGTTGGGCTTTGTGATCTCAGAGGTCCCTTCCAACCATGGTTATTCTGTGATTTTTAGTAGCACTTACATTTTCCTTTTTAGGGTCTAAGGTTCAGCTGATAGCAGCAGCTGAGTAGAACAGCCAAAAATCATACAAATGTGAAAGAGGATAGTAAGAGTTCTTCCAGTTATCAGTGCTGTGTCCTAGGAATGAGATGCTCATTCATCTTCACTGCAGTAACTCTCCAGATATGACAACCCGAAGAACATTCTGCACACATTTAAATACCCTTTAAATAGCTCACCTAGTTAAGACAGAATGCTCTCCTCAACATTATGATCTTACTCTTCTTAAAAACAAAAGTCTCAAGTTGGGCTTAGGGGTTTTTTTGTGGCATCTCCATAGTTACACTTTAAGCAGATTAATGAAATTGAGAAAAATAAGTGAACTCAGGTGATCATCACAGGGCTTTGAATTTCTTGCTCAGAACTGAACTGCCAACTAAGTTACTTCTAGAAAGGTTTTTAAAATCATAGTTAACTGTTTAATACCAACATGAATATTTTGGAAGTCAAACAACAAAGTGTAGCAACTGGAAAAGGAACAAATATGTTCAAAAGACTTTCATGTGAACTCAGTGATCCCCAACATCTCCGCACATTCAGCATCATCAATTCAGCTATAGTCTCAGTGAAATAAAGAACACAATGGTGAAATTTCTAGTCACAGTAAGTTCATATAAGGATGAAACTAATAAACAGAACCAGTCATCAGCCACTGAGTGGTTTTGCACAGCAAAATAGTACATTGCAGTATCATTCTTACATCAACATTTCCTTGCTTTTGGCTCTATTTAGATGGTGCTTAAATAAAATAATTGCAACAAAGATGTGTGTCCTAGTTGTGCTGCATTTGAGTACAACTTCTAGATTATCAGTTAATTAAATAGATTTTAATTTCAGATTTACACTGGCAATGATTATTCTGATACAGATGAGGAAGGACAGGTGTTAGCTAGCTGGAGTCCATTCCTTGATCTTCTGCTTCTGGCTCAGGAGGATACAATTCATCCAAAATCAGCTCTGCAACAACAAAAAAATCATGTTTCAGAGAGTAATTTTTCTACTTGATATAGTGTAATTATCACTGGTGTCTGTTTGCATTTTAAAACATACTGACTGTGGAAGGTTACAGCAAATATCCTTTAGCATGGTTCAGTGCAAACAGGTCTTTAGATGTGCATTTTGTCACACAAACTTCTCCTTTTTTCATTAATGCCTTTTTAGGCATTAAAGAACTATCTTGGATAGTCAATTAAATGTAGCTATTAGTGGAAAACCAGAAGACACTGAGCTATTTTACAGCTGGGCCTGACTATGAAGTTTGAAACTTAATTTTTGCTAACTAATTTTAAAAAGCCACTAGGACAAAAGCATAATATTTGGTGTTTTAAAGGAACAATTGCTAACTACAGTTGCAGGCACACACGTGCAGCTTTGCAGCATGCATGTAAATAATGCCGTAAGTGAATGAAGAAATGGCATCAAGGAAGAAGGAGAGGCAGTTTCACAAGACCTAGGAAACTGGCACCAGGAGTGTGCAAAGTGGGGGGGGGAGTCCTGATGGAGAGAGGCTAGAGAAGCTTTTGGTGTAATGGAGGAAGGCTGGAGGTAGAGAAGGGAAGAGGAAGAAGAGAGAGAAAGAGATGTTAAGGATTGCAGGGAAAGAAAAACCCCAAGCAACTGAAGAGAGAAGGTTTAATGATAATTGGAGACTTGATTATTTTTGGTTTTTAAATAAGGCAACATATAGTGCAGGTTGTTCTACTTAATAGCTGGAATATGAGATTTTGTTTCATCAGATAGTAGGAGCATGTTTCTATGGTGAGAAGAACAAGATAAAACTACTAAATAAGAATAGCAGAGTAGTGGTTCAGTGTAATGAAGTCTGAGGAGCAAAAAAAAAAGGACTGCCTTCAGATGTCTGAGCAAACCCTCCATGGTGTTTGGTACCTGGTACTTGTTAAATGAGGAAAGGGTCAGAAGTGGAATTTATATTGCTACAGCATTGAAAAAAGCCAACATTCTAATTTGGCAGGTTTTACCTTCACAGGCACTCAATTTTTGAGTCTTTTTGAGGATGGCTCTTATGCCTGGCATGGCGTGGTCATACTGATGGAGAACTTCCAAAGAGTGTTCATGAAACAGTTTATCTTTCTGAGACAGGCTGTGCAAGAGTAAAACAGCATCCTGTAAAAACTGAATAATTTGTTCCTTATATGCACACAAGCTGTTCTCAGATCTTCTAATCTTCATCCACTGTCTATGTAACATTATAATTAGTGCCTTAACCACCTGCAAGAGGGAAAAAAGTGCTTCAGTATAGAAAGTAAAATTACAGTTGTGGAAAAGTTATTACTGATTAATCTTAAATTTCAGAGTATTTTCTAGCAGGCAGAAACCAGATTCCTTGAAAAGTGCAATACACTTCTGTTTCCTTGTAGCTAAAAAAAAAAAAAAAAAGGGCAAAAAGCTGTTCCAGCATCATTAGGGGTACCTGTAAGTTCTCAGTAGATGAGACTCAGCCAGGCAGTGACGTACCTCGAGGTGACACTGGCAGTCTGTGCCAGGTAACAAACCCCCTGGGCTGGGACCCCGCACACACCTTGTCAGGAGCCTCACTGTCTAGTACAAAAACACAGATTGCATTAGAATGAGTGCTGGGGGTTCTGCAGCACTATCAGTTAAGCTGCAAATAGAGATGATAGAAATATTTCATTGCTAAGTTTCAAACACTGATTTTTCTTTCCAGTTGATTTTTTTTTTTTTTACCCCCAAAAACTGTTTAGGTTTTTTTCCTGTAAAACTTTGCAGACACAGAATTCACCTTGCACAGAAACCTTTTCAACTTTCTGATGAGAAAAGCTAATGAGGTGCAGTGGGCCTTAATTCACTGCATACAAATAATATATTTACACTTAATATAACAGTGTAGGTAGAGAAATAATTCAAATGGTTCAAAAATCTCTCAGATAAGAGCAGAAGTGGAGCAAATGGTAGAACTTCTAACCCATTGCCACTGTCAGTACAAGACATACAAATGAAATTAAAAATGTGCATGACTACTACACAGCAAGCCAGCATTTCCACTGAATACAATTAATATAATCCTGAGTCACTACAAACTGCCTTTTATATGTAATAACTCATAAGATACAGTAATTAATACATTCAAAACAAATCACAGATCTTGCTTCCTTTTATGCCGCTATTGATCTAAAGCAAAATAAAGCTTAAGTGTTCAACATTTACAGCCATCCTAGGATCTTTCTTGCTTTTTCACTGACTTAACTATGACTATTATGACTGATGTTCCTTTAAGAATAGTTACTGTTTCAGATTCAAGCAGCTTCTCTTAGAATTCAATGTAATCCCTTACTAGAAGCCAATACTGTCAGTTTTCTGTTTCAGCTGGAGAAAGGACTTGTTTTCTGACCAATAGTGCATTGCCCTGCTCCTCCCACTCCCCCAAGTGGAAATAGAAGGAAAAAGCCTGTGAACAAACAGCTCTGGTTACCTCTTGTTCCAGCTGAAGCCAAAGCCTTTCAGATGCCGATTTATCCGGTCTTGATGTAATATATGTGTACAGTGCGAGGAGGAGGCAGGTGTCTGGAATGGAGAGAACTTTGTTCTTTTACCAACTAGTCAGTTGTTTCTGACAAAAATTAATTTTGTCCCACAGAGCACATTTCAGAAAATGTGTAGTTTTCTCCTGGGATTCATGATACAGCTTCTTGCTTTACTGCAGACATCTTAAGCAGGGCTGAAGAAACTAGTATCCCTAAACTTCATACATACATTTGTGGTAATACTGTCCTACTTAAAGAACTGGACAAAGACTATTTCTCATGCAGAGTACTGGCAATCCCTAAACTCAACAGTGTCATCAGACAGATTAATTAGACTTCCAACTCCTCAAAAGCCCTTTTTTCCTTATCAACCTTTTATATAATAAACATTAAACTGGAAAGTAGTTTTAAAAATCCACATGGGTGTCAAAAGCAGTGTATATAGACAAATACAAGACAAAATACTCTTCAAACTGTAAGTGGAAGGCTGCACTAGAACACACATTTTCAGGTCACCCAACAGACTTTTTTTGCTGTATTAACACCTTGGAGCAAGGCCTATTTGCCTTACTTTTAGTCATGCTAACTAGCATTCAACTGACAGCAGATCTGTGTTAGGCAGTCTTTTTACCTGAATGAGAACAAAGTTGAGTAACCAGAGTGTGGTGTTGAGCAAGAATAGACAACAGCCTCACGGTCAGAAGGACAGCAGGCAAAGGGGTCTCTGGACACAGGCAGCAGAGCAGTACTGGGCTGTTCAGTAAGTGCTGAAAACTTCACAAGAAAACAGAGTTAGAAATGCAGAGAAGTTGAAAATACACTTTTCCTTGTACACAGCAGCATCATTCCTGCCTTTTTAGCCTCTCAGAACATACCTGATCTCAACTTAGGTGTCATAAATACAAAGTATACTGAAAAACATTTCTATTTTCCAATTGCTGACACATTTGGCAATCAGTCTGCAAATCTTGCTAGGACTGTGTGTATTAGACCATTAGCAGATGAAATGTCTCATTTTAGAGAGTGGCATTTTACCTACCAGAGTGAGACCCTGTGCTTTCATTTCTTAGGCATCTCCCAGTAATCACAGAAAACCTCAAATGCATGTTACAGATATTCTGATCAACTGCACTTTCAAGTGACAAGTACACAATGAGGCAACAGCATCTGCTTCGTATAAACACAAGTAAGTCTTGTTATTGACTTGAGTTGATTATCACATTCATTACCAGCAAAGGTAGTAAAAAGATCCTGAACTGCTTCTCACAGATGATCAGAAATGTGATATTCTCCCACACATGTAAAAACTTCTACTGTGATCTGCACAAATCAGTTGAAATAGAGAACAAAAACTACTAAACAACAGAATCTGAAATAATTTTAAAGCTATTACTGACTTACTTTATTAGCAAGTCCATTGTTGAATTTTCAGCTAATTTCACCAAAATTTTTAGGCTTTGGTTCATTATACTGTCAGTCTGTGAGCCTCTTGCAGCAGAAAAAGCTAAAACCTGAAGCAGCTTTTTAAACAAAGAATGTTGAGCTTGATTGTTACTGGGAGCATCCAGTGGAGCTACAGGCAGCCCTCCCTGTGTCCTGGTATCTTCTTTAGTGCCACACTGATTATTACACAACACGTTTTTGTCCATCTTGGAAACCTGTTCATCTCCAGCAGCAAAACGTTTTTCCACCTCAGTAGATAGCAATGTGTGGACAACATCCCAGCTGTAAAACACCAAATAGTAAAGAACACCCAGTGATAGAACTGTAGTTTCTTCAAGAGACAACCTGAAGTCCTCCTTACTTGACACCGTACTTGTGTTGGTTCTGGAAGAAACAGATGAGTGGTTTCCACAAGAAGCATTTACTGACTTGTCTGCCAACTGCACCCCTTGGCAGTAGGCACCAATGTGGTGTTCCACCAAGGGCAGGAGGTACACAGCACCTCGGATCCTGCAGCGTGTGAGGTGCAAGAACTCTCTCTGACTTTCTGTTGGGCTTCTTTCAGACAGTCCTTCATCCATAGCAATCAAGTTCAAGCCTGTTATTGCAAGCTTTTGAGCTTCTTGCAGGGATACAAGAGGAGCAGTTTCTTCTTGAGTTGTCCTGCTGCTGGATAGTTGTGTGGACTTCCTATCCAAATAAAATTAAAATAAGGGAAATACTTGAAAAGAAATACAGTTGAAATGTGAGTTATCCGTATTCTGAATCAAATAATAAAAAAGCCAGAGCAATAAGAGATGTCTGTTCCTAAAGTAAAATTTGTATTGGGGAAAAAAAAAAAATCCTACTCCTTGAAACCTGCAGGAAGAGCAATTTCAAAGCATTCCTAGGTCTTGTGAAAATAATAGAGCTTACAGTCGAGTAACTTCAGAGCCTCACTATAAAACATTGTCTGAAACTACATTTCAATCATTGGATTCCTGGTTACCTGCCTTTGATAACCTGACATATATTCTTATCTTTCCCTGATGTTCTCTGGTAGCTTCTGGGAAGCAGGAGTCTCTGCACATTGTCCATCTGCAATATGCAGGGCCTTTAAAGGACTACAACAACTACTTATTTTCTTGGCCAGACATGAGACAGAGACTTCAGGTGTTAACTCATCAAACTGCAGCTTCAAAGCCAAACACACCATCTCTGAGACAGGAGCCTTGCCAGGAACCCACAGAACACAAGAATTATCAGTAACATCAGAGAAAAGCAAAGGTATTTAAGAAGCTGCAGTCTAATTATTTAAAGTGAAAAACAAGTATAATTTATATCCAGTATTTATATTTCAAATGCTTTACAGGTCCTATGTCTTGGAAAATTGCATATAAACTGTACATTACAAACTGAACATAGTTTATACTTAGAGGATGTGCAGCCTGTTAATTTGATCCCATTTTCAACATTTCCTTCCTACTTCACTCATGGTCATGTTTATGTGCTTCCCTCATTGCAATGCAAGTTTTAGGTCCTTAAGTGGTTATCAATAGTAGCTGCTAACAGTCACTTGCAGGTTTTACAAAACACATCTATGTGCCTTCCCCTGATATATAATTAACCTAGTTTATCTCTTAGTATTTATTCTACTGTTTAGTATCTATGATCATCAGAGATTAATATTCAAAGATGCAGAATGATGTTCCACATTTTGCATTAAATGGCCTAACAGCCAAATAGCACTGGGCACAAGGAATGAGCTATCCAAGCATTTCTTAGTGTGGGCAGTGCCACTATACTGAGAGCAAGTCAGATACAATTTAACAAAAAACTCACCTGTCCACATAGTTGGGCTGGCATCCAGCTCCAGGCAGAGGCTCAGAGGGACTGCTAAGAAGATGGCAGAGTCCTAGTAATGACCCAGGGACAAGTGGCTGCTTCATCAGGGCATTTAGTAGGATAGAACCTGAAAGGAGATGCAGTTTTCTGCATAATCAACTGCAACATCAACAACAAGTTAGCTAAAAAATGAGTTAGCTTATTTCAAAAGATTAGCCTTCTTTATAGTGCTCTCAACCTCACAATATTTTATTCATTACAAATCTTTTTTCTCTACAAGAGAGTATTCTTGTAGAGAATCATTCTCTAAAAGGAAATAATTTTCAGAAAATATTAATCTAAGGTATGGTTTAAATATTAACTAAATTATATTTAGAGATATTTTCATTACAATCTGACATAGCAAAGTATCTCAAGCCAAAGGATTGTATTATCCCAAGTATCCTGATGATCTGCCCTCCACATTCAGGTCCAGACATGAAAATTATGTGATGCAGTTCTGTTCTGAATTGGAAATAAAGCAGCACCCTGAAGACTTTCTGGTGCTGACTGTTGTAAATGTTGCTTTATTGTCTTCACCTTTATTTTTTTACATGTACGTTTTTCTTGGTTTCTGTATCAGTTTACCAGAAAAAGCATAATATATTAATACTGAAAGAGCCAGCCTTGTACTAAGATGACTCTTGATCCCTATCCTTCCATAAACCAAAACCCAGACAACCTTTTTTTTTTTCTTAAATAGAAAACCACGATCAGAATGTTGTTGGGATACAAGGTAACAATAGGAAATGTTTCACTGCAAACCCGCAGCATTCAAGGCAAGAAGTGAGCAGCTGAACACCACTCTGCTGGGCACTGTACCTAGCATCTCCTCAGCACACTCACTATTTCTGTATTAACAGAACTCAGTTACCTTGTGGGTTTCGTTTATGTACAGAGTTGGAGGAACCGTTCTTGCTCGTTGCTTCATGCTTCACAGATAAGACTTCAGGATGGGTCATCTTACTGTCTAAAACAAACAGTAATTATGAGTCTCATGAGAATAACATTGCTTATAAATCTGTACTGATCCTTTACACGCATGCAGTTAGCCATGGCTGGTTTATAGCAAGTAAACAGACAGGAAACTAGTAAAAAATATCTGTCTTGTATTACTCTGCCGTGTCAAACAGTAGTTAAGAGTTGTGATGGAAGTAGAATTGCTCCCAAAACCAAATTAAACAAGTGAGTAAAATTTCACCTTCCTGGCAGGTGTTCAGTGCTATTCTACTCAACTTTATTTAAAAAAAACCCCACAATATCTTAAGTTAAATCCCCACTACTAGCAGAGATTCACTTGGCTATACTAGTTAAAAATGAACATAACATTTTAACAAATAAAAATAAAATGGAGCATTTCATACTTTTTCAATCAGCTATATATATCACAATTAACAGGCAAACTGAAGCCAAAAGCCTTGCAGGGCTCAGAAGACAAATAATCAAGTGTGGTTTTCAAACAAATACACATATTGCCTTTCGTTACCATAACAAAAAGTCAGGGGACTGAAAAAAATAGCAATACTAATGCTTTAAGGCTATTTTAATTTTCTTTTTATGGAGTTCATGCTGCCCACACAGTTTCAGATTTAATACTGTAACTGACAGTAACATCTCAGATTTTTCTTTTCTCTTCCTGTAAGAATTAGTTGATGACATCCAAATTTCTTCTATCACTTATGGAAACATGGCAGTTGGCTGCTATAAAAAACCCCACCATTTTTGTTTCATGCCACAGCAATCTTCAAATACATTTGTGTATTTATTTCCTAAGCCTTACTCAAATGAAATTCATTTATACAATTTTGTGAAAATTGCTGCCCTACACATAAAAGAAGAAGTGATTCAATGTTTCAGTTGTGTTTTTCACTACAGCTGAATATGTATCATTTAAAACAAAATAAAAAAGGACAGCTTTAAAGCCAAAACCCCAAGAATACAAAAATGCTGACTAGCAGACCAATTCAAGAAATAGGCAAATAATTTCCTGTTCTTCTTTCTTCAATGAGAAAGGCAGATAAAAATTTGCTTCTTTTAGTTCATCACAAATTGAAGTTTTTCATTACAGCCAACACTTTGTCACTGACATCTTGGCATCTGCTAGACAGGCACTGCTACCAAGATGTGAATTAAAATGATCTTGATGTCAATTTCAATCACAACTATTGAGAGTCAACTGGTATAAAATGGAAAGAAGTTTAAGCAAAACCAAAATAAAACAAATACTTGTTTTTTTCTCTACAGTAAACTTACTGAAACTGTTCAGTGACATAATACAAAGATCCTTAACTAGGGCAGAATGTTGGAAGTTATACATGGGTTTACCTTCTTTGATTGAAGTAGTTGGAAAAATCGAATTTCCTGAGGAACATGATGGTCTAGTGGACATTTCAGCATTGAAAGATTCCTTGGTAGGAAAGGATCTTTTTCCAGGCTGTGGAGAACATCCTTCTGATTTAACTTGTATTGCTACATTCTTTCTGGGGCTAAAATAAAAATTGAACACTTAGATGAATCATTACTTCTTTTGTACTTATTTTATTAAACAATAAACAAGGTTCTATTAACAGCTTTTGAGATACTGATGTTTTAAAGGTACTTCATGTTACACCCTTTCCATTTCTATCACAGAGACAAGGCAGACTCTTTTTGATCAAATTCCATAGAGGTGAACAGACTTTTTTTTGTCGTATTTGTTCACGAAAACAGAGCTAAGAATTATATGGAGAAAGAAAACATCTTTAATAGTTTAAGCACACATCCTGTAAAAAGCAACACAAATTGGTCACCCAAAAATCCTACCTTGATGTTAAAACCACCTGAGGAATGTGCTTGTTTCTTTCACAGCTCTGAAGTCGTGTTCTCAGTTCATTCATCTCTGCATCTTTGAACTGCAGCTCCGACTGCACTGACAGGAGCTGGAAGAGGAACGAAGAGAGACAATCTCACTGCTGCCCAATGATTCAGTGGCATCACAACTGCAGAGCAACTGGCATTACTGTATGATGCCAAGATCACTATCTACTTACTGTGAACTCTGCACAAGATCTCCATTTTTATGTATGCTAGTCCAATTAACGCTATCTTAGAACCAAGTGCCAGAAGTTCAGGCAAGAAGGACATGACTTGTTTAGACAGACCAAGCGCCACGCACAGCATGACTACAGTGCGGCTGTTAACAGCAGAGGAAACAGGACAAAAGCAGCCACTGTCCTCTTCAGGGCTTTCAGAAAGGTGACTGCAACAGGAACAGCAATCTGATCAGAAGCATAAAGCACATTTCTGTCGCTTTCTTCCCTTTTTTAATACATTCCAATTTTTACCGTTCTTGGAACTGCCTAAACGCAGCAACAAGTACATGAAAATCTCTGCCACTTGAACTTTAGCCTCTTATTTTGGCAGAAGAAAACCCTCAGCCAATTCTTACAAGTGCTTTCTTATAGGTAAGAAAAAATAAGAGCCCACATAGGTTGGAAATTTCATGCAAATGTTCTTCCTTTGACTAGGCGGACCATTACGTCATTAAGTCACAAGTTCAGCTTCTCCATGTGATGTGCTGGGAATCAACATAGTTACAAACCTTTTTGGAGAACTCTTTTTCTTTTTCACTGAAGGTCTGAGATTTTTGCTGCTCCAACAGCATGTATGATCTTTTCTGCTCCTCCATAGCACACTCCATCTGCTGCATCGAGTCACGCAGAATTTTAATTTCTCCATTTTTAATAAGAATTTCATCCTGCATTTCTTTCAGCTGCAAACAGATGAATCCATTAAAGGATGTACATAACCAAAGCTACATGGTTGAAAATTAGGTATATTTATACTTCACAGGGAGAAAAATCCTTCTCTAACCCAGCTGAGAAATTCTGCAATGTTGTTTCTAATCTTATTCTGATTAAATCAGGCTCAGCTACTGTGCTCTCTGGCAGGACAATAAACAACAGCAAAGGTCTATCTTCATATACCATCCTGGTATCTCTCAGAGACCATTCTTCTCTTTCCCCTTTTCTGTGATTATCAAAAGTATTCAAAGTCACAAACATCAATAATGTATCCATTATCTGGATGATAACGATCATTTATTTGCAATATTGTATGTACCATGGCAGCCAACAGGCACGCAGTCCTAAGACAGTATCTTCAAGGTAGGAAGGGCCTCTGACACTCCCTGAGCCATCACCACTGAGAGACAAGACTTTGGAGAGACAATAAATGAGCTATTCAGAAAAGCAGGGAGAAAAAAGCAGAGAGACACTTCTATGCCACTGTGCAAAACGACAGTTTCCCCCCATGTTGAATACAGTGTAGAGGCAGGAGCTTCCCCAGTTAAGAGGGAGCTGGGCAAGAGCCAGAGAACAGCAGAAAGGGCAATGAGAGAGAGGTGAGTGGAGCTTTTTCCACCGGGGAGAAAGCACAGCTGTGAGGGAACAAAGGCAGACAGCCCCACCGACAACTGTAATAGCTAGAGGGGAAGACACCACGAACCTTCCGTTTAATTTCCTCATGCTGTGTCTGCAGCACTTCGAGCTGGAAGGCGTCTCTCACCGGGGTGTCCTCCGCACCGGCCCCTGCGCGGGAAAACACCGGGATCTGTCCTGCAGCAGCGGGACGCACGCAGGGCACTGATGCCTTCCCAGGCCCGGGGGAAGGACCCGTGCCAGGGCGGGCCCG